TTTATTATTACTGTAATGTTGCGCTGCTTTATTTGGTTAATCGTCCAGTCTGTGAAGAAGGCATTCAAGTAAGAATTGCATTGTAGTATGACTGGCGCATACAATTTATATTAGGTCAGCGTTCATGGTTCGACTTCTGATATTCAGATCGAGTTCTAGGTCAAACTGGTTTGTTCGACTTTCAAGAAATTCGAGTTCTAGTGAGTTCGAGAACCGAGGTACCACTGTATATTGAAAAAAATGCTTATTGTAATGTTTTGTACATAAGCTATTAGTTAAGTTCTCCCCAAACGAGCTTGATGGGCCGAATCAATTTATGTTCTTATGTTTTTATTTTGCTAATGTGTAGGATGTGTATATGTCTGTGTCTTAAGTGTTTTTTTTTCCAGGCTGAACAGCTGTGATCTCATAGATAAACACTGTGAAGTGTTGACTTCAGCTCTAAGATCAAACTCTTCACCCCTGAGAGAGCTGGACCTGAGTGACAATGATCTGGAAGATTCAGGAGTGAAGCTGCTCTCTGCTGGACTGGGGGATTCACACTGTAAACTGGGGATACTGAGGTCAGTATTACTGGGTATTCCACAATGTAAACTGTGGATACTGAGGTCAGTATTACTGGGTATTCCACACTTTAAACTGGGGATACTGAGGTCAGTATTACTGGGTTTTCCACACTCTTCACCAGCATCCAGCGTTTTCACAACAAAAACATGGGAGACTCTGTACCCCCCTCTCCTTGAGGAGATCCTCAATGATTTCTCAGCTCCGATCTCTTCAAGGTTCTGGATGTTAATCGTTCCCAGACTGGTCTCCTTGCTCTTGACATCTCTACCAGACTTCATACTCACTGCCATCAGGGTCTGCTTGGGACAGGACTGTGGATGAGGGAGAAACACAAGGAGACTGAGGCTGCTGCCTGGCCTCAGATCTGGACTCACATGCCATGAAACAATCAATTTATTTGTACTTTCACTGTAATTTCAGCTTCAAAATACAATTCCAGTTGTTTCACACAGTGGGCAGTTTTACTGTAGTGTGGTACTGTATGAGTTTAAGGACATACAGGCAGTGATGGGTGACTGGACTGAAGCCTCATTGAGGCAGACTTTATTAAAAAATAAAAATCACAGCAGGAAGAGGAAAGTTTGGGGTGGCTGGTGGCAGTCAGCGGCGTCCTCATTCCGAGTCGGTGTTTCCTGGTTGTGAGAGACATGGGAGACGTGAGGGAGACACCAAAAACAAAAAGAGCGGATGGCAGGGTAACGCGGAGCAGCCAGTGTCGGGGTCACAGGTGTATCATCGTGATGTTGGTTTGGTTTGGAAATGAAATGCTCATTTATGGCCGTTAATTCACAGTGACTTCAGGATGTCAAATTAAAAGGTGAACTTCAGTGAGTCATGTAGGATCACTCTGTTAGAGTTATATCTTTGCAGACAAGCAGCCGCTAAACCCCTGAGAGCCAACCATTGCTGCTGGTCTCTCCCTCAATTTATACAGTTAATTACATGCAAATAGACGGCTGTAGAAAACAATGTTATGATTTCCTTTCTGTAGGCTGTCAGGCTGTAGAGTCACAAAAGAAGGCTTTTCTTCCCTGGCTTCAGCTCTGAGGTCAAACCCCTCACACCTGAGAGAGCTGGACCTCAGTGACAATCACCCAGGAGACTCAGGAGTGAAGCTGCTCTCTGCTGTACTGGAGGATTCACACTGTAAACTGGAGATACTGAGGTCAGTATTACTGGGTATTCTACACTGCAAACTGGAGATACTGAGGTCACTATTACTGGGCATTTCACATTGTAAACTGGAGATACTGAGGTCAGTATTACTGGGTATTAGCTAAGGAAAAGGGAGGAGGGGGCCTGCTTTCTCTTAGACACTAAACTGTATGTCTTCAAATATTTATTGGAGAAGTCACATTTATTTAATCCCTGTAATGGTGAGGTGATCTTATTTATTGGAGAGTTTCTGTCTCTCTCTTTGCAGGCTGTCAGGCTGCAGAGTCACAGAAGAAGGCTGTTCTTCCCTGGCTTCAGCTCTGAGGTCAAACCCCTCACACCTGAGAGAGCTGGATCTGAGCTACAATCATCCAGGAGACTCAGGAGTGAAGCTGCTCTCTGCTGTACTGGAGGATCCCAGCTGTAAACTGGAGAAGCTGCAGTGAGTACAGAATATGCATTTTACAAAAAAAGAAACTGGATACCGAGAAAACCCACAATGCATTTCAGCAGTTGCATAATAAACAGGAACAGCTTCTGTTTTCTTCTCCTACTTCCTTATATCCCACAATCTTATCAGCCCTCGATCCATGTTAGAAATAATTAAGCAGTGAAGCAGGAAACATCCATTCAACCATATCATCCATGCAAAACATTTGTGTTGGTTATCAAAGTTACCGGTACTGTTACAGTTAAACATGCTGACTTTAACATGTTATAGACAAAAATACAATGGACACCAAGCAGAATCGGGAGGATTGTTAAAATGATTTTTAGTAATTGAATTGTTTTCTGAAAATCCATTATGTCATGGTACCCTATTCTCTTCATTTGAATGCAGTGCTGCAGTGTAAAAAGTTGATTTAAAAGTGTTTAATTTTTTTAAGGGTGGGCCTGTGTGATCTCACAGATAAATGCTGTGAGGTGCTGGCTTCAGCTCTCAGATCAAACTCCTCACCCCTGACAGAGCTGGACCTGAGTGACAATGACCTGCAGGATTCAGGAGTGAAGCTGCTCTCTTCTGTACTGGGGGACTTACACTGTAAACTGGAGATACTGAGGTCAGTCTTAATGGGTATTCCACACTGTAAACTGGGGGTAGTGAGGTGAGTATTACTGGGTATTTCACACTGTACACTGGAGATACTAAAGTAGAAAATAACTAATGATTTCAAAATAAAGCAGGAGTATCTAAGTCTACAGGTTGACTTAAAAAATAACATTAGACTTATTAAGTGGAATGTCGAAAGGAAGATTGCATTGGAGGCAAAGGATGACATTAAACGTTTCTTTCATTATTTTAACTCCAAAAGAGCTCTAAAAGCTGAAATCACTAATCTGCAGGATAATAAGGGCCTTATAATTGAAAATGAAATTGATATAGTAAAGTCCAAGTCCACAAATGGGCTCACCACCTATAGGAGGGGTCATAGGGGTCAGGTGCGAAGTGAGTTTGGCAATGGCCGAAGGCGGGGACCTTGGCGGTCCGATCCTTGGCTGCAGAAGCTAGCTCTTGGGACATGGAATTTCACCTCTCTGATAGGGAAGGAGCCTGAGCTGGTGCGCAAGATTGTGAAGTTCCGGCTAGACATAGTCTGGCTCACCTCGACGCACGGCTTGGGCTCTGGAACCAATCTCCTCGAAGGGGGTTGGACCCTTTTCCACTCTGGAGTTGCTCACGGGGAGAGGCGCCGAGCAGGGGTGGGCATACTTATTGCCCCCTGGCTGGGTGCCTGTACATGGGGTTTACCGCAGTGGACGAGAGGGTAGCCTCCCTTCGCCTTTGGGTGAGGGGACGGGTCCTGACTGTTGTTTGCGCTTATGCGCCAAGTGGCAGTTCAGGATACCCACCCTTTTTAGAGTCCCTAGAATGGGTGTTGGAGAGCACTCCTCCTGGGGACTCTCTTGTTCTACTGGGGGACTTCAATGCTCACGTGGGCAATGCTGGGAACGTCTGGCGGAATCCCCTGTCAGGGGGAGTTTCAACTCCTACCTCCGGCAGAACTTCTCCCATGTCCCAGGGGAGGCGGGGGACATTGAGTCCAAATGGGCCATGTTCCGCGTCTCCATTGTGGAGGCAGCTGACCGGAGCTGTGGCCGTAAGGTGGTCGGTGCCTGTCACGGCGGCAATCCCCGACCCCGCTGGTGGACACCAGTGGTGAGGGATGCCGTCAAGCTGAAGAAGGAGTCCTATTGGGCTTTTTTAGCCTGTGGGACTCCAGAGGCAACTGACAGGTACCGGCAGGCCAAGCGGGGTGCGGCTTCGGCGGTCGCCGAGGCAAAAAAAACCGGCACGCCGACACGCCTTCCAATGTGGAAGCAGAGTATGGGGACTTGGGTGTGGACTCCCCTATATCTGGGGCGGAGGTCGCTGAGGTGGTTAAAAAGCTCCTCAGTGCCCGGGCCCCGGGGGTGGATGAGATCCGCCCGGAGTACCTCAAGGCTCTGGATGCTGTGGGGCTGTCCTGGTTGACATGCATTTGCAGCATCGCGTGGACATCGGGGGCGGTGCCTCTGGACTGGCAGACCGGGGTGGTGGTCCCCCTCTTTAAGAAGGGGGACCAGAGGGTGTGCTCCAACTATAGGGGGATCACACTCCTCAGCCTCCTTGGTAAGGTTTATTTGGGGGTTCTGGAGAGGAGGGTCCGCCGGATTGTCGAACCTCAGATTCAGGAGGAGCAGTGTGGTTTTCGCCCCAGCCGTGGAACAGTGGACCAGCTCTATACTCTTTGCAGGGTCTTGGAGGGTTCATGGCAGTTTACCCACCCACACGGAAATAACCTATATAAACATATATGTTTTAATATAGGTTTTGATAAAGGTTTTTAATATATGTGACATATATAAAATTGGCCATTTTCCTATATTATATGTACATATGTGCACATATATGCGTACATATATGTGCACATATATGCGTACATATATGTGCACATATATGCGTACATATATGTGCACATATATACGTGCATACATGTACCTATATAGGTACATATTTGCATGTATGTATGTGTGCATATATGCACCTATATGTTCACCTATATGTTCACCTATATATTACTAAAATTATTAAAATCCATAGCTGCTAGACAACATAAATAAAAGCCCAAAATGTAGAAATTTAAATTTTTTATTTTCTTAAGAACAATCAAATAGTAAAAGAACAAAAATATAGTACAAGAACAAATGTGAATGTGTGGATGTGTATGAGCTGTAATGTGAATCTGGAAGTGACTTGAAATTGGAAAAAAGACTTGATTGCAATATAAAAAAAACGACAAACCATTTTGTTATACATTTCCTTCTTTTCCACTATTTTCATACAAGAAAGAATTGACCTTGTAAATGTTTCAGGAAAATGTGTAGACATCATAGCTTTCCATCTCCTCTCACTAGTTAAATTCCATAACATGCCAATTACATGTGATACCAATTTCACGTGTTCGCACATAAGTTTTTT